TCATTGGGCTGGAGGAAAGGAGAACCCAGAAGCTGTTGGGCTACACATGAACAATCAGTCGTGGAGTACCTGTGGGGGTCTGCAGTCCCCCATTAGTGCCTCTGAGCTAGAGAAAACCTGACATTAAATGGCAAGTAAAAAATACCATGGACCCAGCTTGTGTGGTGCAGTCAGTAGCCTACTGGACTTTGAGGCTGGAAGTCGCATGCCAACCAAGATTCAAGTCCAGCCGGCCTGAGACACACATGCATGCACATGTGTTCAGGATCCTGGAAAGTCATAGGACTGAAAGAAGGAGATCAAGACATGACTGAGCTCTGTGGAGGGTGCTTCTCTCTCTCTCTTGTGTGCACACACATTCTTCATCATCAATATCAACAACTTTCCCCTCCACCGACACACCATGACCCATTAAGAGAGAGGGAGAGAGAGAAAGAGAGACTTAAGGAAACTGTTTTGTATTTTAGTATCATTAAAATAATTTTTCCTGGTTTCTAACCAAAAGGTCCTGTATTTTTACTTTGCATTGGGTCCATTCAAAAGTTAGGACTATATAGAGTCATCTTCTGAGATTTGTCTACCAAAATAGAAATTGACAAAGAAAATTTCACCACATGTCCATTAACATAACTGGATAAAAAACATGTAGTGCATACACACATACACATACTGGAATACTATGCAGCCATTAAAAGGGATGAAATCCAGTCATTTGAGGTTATATGGGTTAGCCTGGAAGCTATGTTAAGTGAAATAAGCCAGACACAGGAACAGAAATGACACATATTCTCCCTCATATGTTAACTGAAAAAATGATCTGATAGAAGTAGATAAGTACATGTGACCAGCAGGTGGCATGGTGGTTGAGGCATTGGACTTCCACATGGCCAACCATATTTTAGGTCCCAGACCTGGTGGCTTGCTTTCTCACTCTCTCTTTCTCTCTATCTCTCTCTGGTCACATCTTCTGAGATTTGTCTACCAAAATAGAAATTGACAAAGAAAATTTCACCACATGTCCATTAACATAACTGGATAAAAAACATGTAGTGCATACACACATACACATACTGGAATACTATGCAGCCATTAAAAGGGATGAAATCCAGTCATTTGAGGTTATATGGGTTAGCCTGGAAGCTATGTTAAGTGAAATAAGCCAGACACAGGAACAGAAATGACACATATTCTCCCTCATATGTTAACTGAAAAAATGATCTGATAGAAGTAGATAAGTACATGTGACCAGCAGGTGGCATGGTGGTTGAGGCATTGGACTTCCACATGGCCAACCATATTTTAGGTCCCAGACCTGGTGGCTTGCTTTCTCACTCTCTCTTTCTCTCTATCTCTCTCTGGTCAAAATTGAAGAATAATGATAATAAATAAAGTTTAAAATAAATAAATCTTTTAAATAAAGAAGTAGAGAAGTACAGAATGACTAGTGGAAGCTGGGAAGGATGGGGGGAGTTGTAAAGAATACAAGGTTGTTGATTAACAAACAAAATTTTGGATAGAACCATGCCTAGTATTATAAAATACAGTAGTGAGAACACGGTTAACAACAACTTGCTGTATATAATGTTACTAGTGGCTGAGATGATGGGTGGACGAATTGCTCTGATTTAGTCATTACACATTGTATTCATGTGCTGAAAAAATCACACTGTGACAACTGTAATGTATTAATTTTAAAAAAAGAAAAGAAAAGCCCACTCATGGATCACTCAGTTCAGGCCAGCTAACTCTTACACTGCGAGGGCTTCTTGTAGCATTCCTAAATCTTCAACACAAGGTTCTAACATAATTATGTATTTTGAGTTTCAGATTGAAGGAGCAACTTTTGGGATGTAATGATCAGGAATTCTGGATGGAAGCCATGTCCCTCAAATAGCTTGCTATAGGATTAATTCATATTTCTTGAGAACAAAAATGATATATTTCATAAACATAAAGCACAATCGAAATATTATATGTAAAATTTAATAGATAACAACAAAGAAAGTTGAAAGTTCACTAAGGTTTTCCTTTATTTTCTACTAAAGAAGGTTAAAACCTTACATAGCATTCTAACATTCAAAAAAACATACTTATTTCCTGATTTGAATAAACCAACTTAAATGATTTTGACATAGAGACACTTGAATATGGGCTGGGCATTATTTTCTATGAAAGAATTATGAATATTGTTAGGTATGAGATAATGACACAGCGATTATATAAAAATGCCCTTTATAGATATATATGTATATTTATGGTAAGATATGTCTGAGGTCCATGTTAAATACTTCTGTGAAAGGAGCAGAGGTGGAAGAAGGAGACAGAGAAGAAGAGGATGAAAAAATACCAAAAAAGATGAGAATGACAACAAGGAAGGCAAAGGAGTTGAGAGAAAAATCTCTGATACGGATGGAATGAGACTGTTGAAATGATGAATGCAGGTGATGGAAAGGTGGGGATTCATTATAATACTCCCTTTACCCTCACATGTGTTTTAAAATTTCTGTGATGGAGTGTGTGTGTACCTATTGCCTACGACAATTTTTTAATAAAAATCAAGGCACAGATTTCTCATTCTCCTCCCTACAAAATGTCTTTTTTCTTTTCCCTAGTGCAAGAAGCATCCTCAGAGGCTAACAAGAGTTCTCTAAGCTGAAAAGATACAAAGGAGTTGATGGGAAGGATAATCCACCCATCGGTTCCTGGAACAATATAAAGAAGAAAAGAAGAAAGTGGGTGGAAGAGCCTGCCATTGTTATTCTCCTAACCTTTTCCTTCTAATTATGCCCCAGTCAAGGCTCAGGTCACAAGGAAAATTATTTTGGGGGCTGACCATTTGCCCTATTTTGTATACATCAAAAAAGCTCTTGTTCTCACCACATTCCAGTCTCAGTTTCCCACCTACTTTAAAAATGTACCAAGTGGTCAGAATAACTGAAATATGAATAAAATGATTATATTATGAAAAACACCTTATTTGCAAACCTGGAGACAATCTTACACTGAATTTTGTGATATGTAACACTCTAAAAATTAAATATGCTTTAGATTATCGTTAAGTATTTCATAGAAGTGTTTGAAGCCCAGCGTTTAAAAGTTAAATGTAAATATCTCTCTTGAGTGCAGATGGGGGCCAAGCAAAGTAGCTCTTTAGTCTTACAGACAGAAGGTCAGGTCATGGCTGAAAGACCAAAGAACAATTGCTGCATTGCTACTCCAAATCATCCATGGAATGAGACACCACTACTTTCTTTTCTAAAATTGTCTTTTCAATACAAAATCGTTACAAAGAGTACCTATAAGATTTCCTCACACTATGTCCAAGAAAATATGCTAACAAGCACACCACACCACAAACACCTTGTAAATGTTCAGACGTTTTAGTCCTAATGCTATGACCTCCTAAAAAGGCACATCCCTATCTAAACACTTATCACTAAAAATCATGATGAAAAAGGTTTATGTTATCAGGAAATGTTTATAAATGAAAACTGCTCTTTTTAAAATCCTGCAACTTCAGCCTCCATACCATTACTAGCTAATTAAAATGAGCAACAGTGCTAAAAGACAAATATTGTAAATACTTCTTTATTTATTCTAAGTGACACTTTTACTCTTTATTCCTATAGTTTTTTCCCCTCTAGGACATAATAATTGAATTTTAAATAACTCCAGGATCCTGCTATATTTCCCCAGTTAGTCTAAAACACTATGCTAGCAGGATACTGTAAAATAATACAAAAATTATATGATAATGTTAGTGAGCATACCAATATATCTTTATAAAAGAAATTACAATATATCGGGAAAGGAAAATTCTCTTAGTTTTAAGCCCTCAGACTCTGATATAAAGGATTTTCCATTTGACTATCAGGCACGCCCCCAACTGGATGAAATAAAATAGTTTCATTACTCGTACATGGTAACAATGAAAAATCTCCTAAAAATTTAAAATTAATTGTAACACTTTCAATACAGTGATACGAAAGCAGAGTTTTATTTTTTATTGTCTAGATTTTAATTTATTACTAAGTATTTCAGTTATGACTTGAAAAACTTTAGGTATTAAATTTCATTATTACTATAGTTTTAAATATTTCTAATTGTCTTTGCATCATTTGTCATAAAAAGTTCATTGGGTTGAAAGGGAAAATATGTTGGAAGATATAAAAAGCCTTGGAAATAATCATTTGGAGCTGCCTACTTCTAAACTGTCATGATTTCTTTAAAATATTGGCACTAAGAATTCAGTCTTATAATTTTAATTGAATAAACAACCTGTTTTCATTGTGCATAGATAAGGTAATCCTTCAATGTCCTGTACTGTAATGCAAAAATAGAAAATCAAAAGTCATCTTATTAGAATAGCCTGTCTAAAAACTTTATCTATTTTGTCAATTAAAATTAAACTCTCTACATGATCTCAACAAAGACATAGCGTAAAACATCTGTTCAAACTAAAATTGAAGAAAGCAGCATTTTTCTGCTAACATTTCTAATTTCAGTGTATTTAGGCTTCCTGAGCAAACGTATTCATGGTTATCTTAGTTAAAACTGGTTTCACTCTGCCAACAATCAATTTGATTGACATATTTACATATCAACTCATCTCATCTTACAAATTTTAAACTTTTTCATTTAAAATTGGATTCAAGTTGGCATCTCTGAAGAACTTTATGTACGTATATTTTAGGTTCAAACTGTGCATTAGAACATTTTTTTAAACTTTTGTAAGTAATAGATACACATATCCAAATGTATATTTATGACCTGTCAGATTGGAATTTTATATGCATGCAGTTGTATTCTCAACATTTCATGTGAAAGGTGATAATTATAGGCAACTATAAATAAAATTCTTTTAATAGTATAAATGGGTTCATTCCATTAGTTAGAAACAACGTAATAGAAATAAGTAACTTAAATAAAGCCACATTGACTTCAGAAAGAACAGTCGTTTTATCTTCAATTGGTGCAGTCATGTTTGTGTCATCTCTTACCTGATCTTTAATTTCAAGATCCCTTTTAGTTTTTGCTCTGTACTCTCTGTGCTCCTTTTCTGCCTCATCCCTCTCCATTTTGGTTTTATTCAGCTGATAGCGCATTTCCCCACACACCTGTTAGATTGAAAGAAAAAAAAAAAAAAACCTAGATCAATAGCTGCTGGAATCAACCAATTTCTGCAACTAGATCTTTTGGTGCCCCCTAGAGGTTCTATAGATTAAATACAGAAGAATGTTTCTAAGAAAGGCATTTTCTATTGGAATATTCAATATAGCCTGTTAAGTTTTGGAAGCTTATCAGGAATTACTGAGTCATAATTTCAAATTAAAGATAAAGATATGCATAGCTAAGGAGCTAAAGTAATATGTCCAACATTTTTTATGTAAAATAACTGTTTCAATGGCATATTATCAAACTGTATTCTTCAAAGTTCGAGTAGTAAAATTAGTAATTAAAACATTAAACTATATTATTATTAATTCAAGTTATTAATATTTTAATTAAACATTCAATATATCTTATAACATTTTCCTTTAAAGATTTCTTCAGTTATACTTTTGTTTTAGGAAATTTATAAAGGAATTTTCCTCTCTACTAACAGACATTGTCAACCTTTAGGTGTATAATACAGTCTTTACTGTAAGCTTTGTAGATAACATTAATCTCATCATGCACAGTATACTGTATATTCAAGTTAAGGAAGATCTTTCTGACAAAAGTCATACATGAGAATTAAGTACACTCTGTACTTACAACAGTAATAACATATCAATACAATAGGAAAACACAATTTAAGTGAAATATTTAATATATCATTAAGTAATGAATACATATAGTATCGTAAAAGTGTTGGGTATCATCCTTTATACAATGTGTTTTATTTTTTCCCCAATCTAAGGCCTCTATAGACACAAAAATACATTTAGAACCTGTGATTAGTAGATAAATCAAATTTAAAAGTTATAAGCTTTTTGACATAACTAAGAACCTATACTGAGATCAATCAATATGCAAGTCTGCTAAGTTTGTTTCTAACTAACAAATATGTGTTTTTAAAAATCATATATTAGCTAATAGTGGTATTTCTCCAAAAATAACAATTTTTAAAACGTTCAAAATTAGTTTAATCATTACGGAAGTATTAGAATATACTAAAATATAAAATCTATGTGCACTTCCTATGTCTGAACAAAAACTATTTTAAAAAATAACTAACCTGGGTTCAAAAGTTAAAGTGATAAGCAAGAAAAAATTTAAAGTTTCTCCCGTGTCCCTCAGAAAATAAGAGTAAGACGAAAAGTACTAAAGAATGTATTTGAAATTCAAATGCCTTCAATGCATGAGAAATGATTTTTCCTATTTCAAAAAATAACAAATTTATAAAACTTATTAATTTTATTAATTTTTAAAAGTTAAGGCCAGCAAGTGCTGTGGCGGTGAAGGTGACTAGATCCCATGTGGTAAACTGAGTAGTTCAAGTCCTGGACCTAGCGGCGGCTTGAAAATCATACTGGGTGAATGTGGGTGCCCCACATCCCAAGAGGAGCATGACGGAGAAGGCATAGCCATCCCCCAGGAGGTGACTTCTTTTCTTTTCTTTTTTTTTTTTGAGAGGCTTTTGCTATAGGGTGCATGCGCTCGCCAGACAGAGAGAGAGAGACAGAAAGCGAGAAATCCCCCCCCAGAGGGGATGGCCACACCACAATCCCTTCTCCATTCTCCTCTCAGGATCTTGGGCACGCACGTACACGCGCCCGGCATGAGTTTTAAGCCACTGGGTCTGGGACATGAACCACGGTCGACTACATGGGAGTCCAGCAACATAGCCATTACGCTAACTGCTGGTCCCCCCAGGAGGTGATTTCTCACTCTCTCTTTCTCTGTTTCTCTCCAGGGAGCCTATGTGCCATGTAGCAAACTAAAAGAGAAAAAAAAAGTTTATTTACTTTTTTGATGAACAAGACAGAGAGAGGCAGAGAGAGAGAGGGTGATAGCTCCTTCAACAAGGGTTTTCTAATTTTGTTTGTTTGTTTGTTTTTGCTTTTTAATGGTACAGCACATGCCAAGGAAAGAGAAAAAGGGAGAAAGCATCCCTAACAGGGTCTTATTGGGCAAGGATCTTTTTTTCCCAGTTCTTTACCTTCTCAGGATCCTGGGCATCTGCGTGTACCCAGAGTCTGACAAGAATTTAATGCTGCGATCCACCCTCAGCTTCTGTTAGCCCTAGATCATGGGCATATGCATGCCCAGCATACTAAAGGTCTCAGGACATAAATCCAGGACCCTTCTAGATGGATTAACTTCTGCACCACTGTCTAGCCTCTAAAGTTACTAATTATAAAGCTAAATAGAATTTTAAAATTAAGAGTGATAGGAGGGCCAGCAGGTGGTGTGGTGGTTAAGGGACTGGATTCTGACATGAACAACCACAGTTTGGAATCCCTGGTGGTTTGAAAATCAGACCAGGCATGTGTGTGTGCATGCCCAAGATCCCAATAGCAGAATGGAGGAAAAGGGATTGCGGTGTAGACAACCCCCTGGGGGGTAATTTCTCCCTCTCCCTCTCTCCATCTATGGCAAAAATCCTTAAAATAAATAAGAGTGATAGAAAAAAATTAAAAGGTAACAACTTATTTTCTTTTTTTGACTTTTTACTACTGTAATCTATTTGATATATATCTATGAATAAAGTAAAAAGAACTAGATAATATCAGAAAATAATTACATAACCATGATATTTAAAACCCAACACCAATACAATTTATTATAATTACGTAATAAATTTCTAAAAATCAGGTCCTATTTTAAATTACTCCCCCCCCCTTTTTTTTTTTTTTTTTTTTTTTAGATTTTTGTCATAGGGCACATGCACTGGCCAGAGAGAGACAGAGAGAAAAAGAGAAAGGGAAAGTGAGAAATCACTGCCAACAGGGGGACAGCCACATCACAATCCTTTTCCTTCCATTCTCTCCCTGGAATTTTTGGGCACACATGCTCAAGAGCCTGGCATGATTTTCAATATACCAGGTCTGGAACTTGAACTGTGGTTGGCCAAGTCAGAATCCAGCACCTGAGCCACCATGCCACCTGCTGGCCTCTATTTTGTTGTTGTTGTCTACTAATTTTAGCATTTGCTAAATGTAGACATAACGTTTAAATGCCATCTAAAACAAATCAATTGAACTAGAATTATATAATCTGTGGGTTAGAAGTAACTTCAGAGCCATTAGTCTAATCACTCTTCTGATGCTTAAGTCCTTATAGATAGTTCTAAAGGTAGAGAACTCATTCTTTGCTGTACCATATTTACTAAAACTAAAGTTTCCTCCCTATAATGAACAAAAAATTATTTCATCATAGCTTTCACCTATAAATCTATGTTATGTATTTTTACCCCTCTGCACCAATCCCCTTATATATACTGGCAAATAACAGCTTCTCAAACCTCTATCTTAGTTAGCTTGAGTTTGAGAAAGCAAATGGAGAATTATAAAAATTCAAGGAACAAGAGGGGGCGGTTATCACTCTCTCCTAACCTATGTTAGACATAATTTTATACACTGAATTATAAAGTAACAATTTCATGAAAAATGTGGTCAAGATGGTGGTGTGGAGATTAAAGTACTGGATTCCACATGGCTGGCTGCACAGTTCGAGTCCTGGACCTAGTGGCTTGAAAAATCAGGCCGGATTGGGAACCAGCAGTTAGCGTAATGTCTATGTCGCTGGACTCCCACGTAGTCGACCGCGGTTCGTGTCCCGGACCTGGTGGCTTAAAACTCACGCCGGGCGCGTGTGCGTGCGTGCCCAAGATCCCGAGAGGAGAATGGAGGAGAAGGGATTGCGGTGTGACCATCCCCCCTGGGGGGTGATTTCTCGCTTTCTGTCTCTATGTCTCTCTCTGTCTGTCTGGCGAGCGCACGCGCCCTACAGTGAAAATCTCTCAAAAAAAAAAAAAAAAATCAGGCCGGATGTATGTGCATGTGTGCCCAAATCCCGAGAGGAGTCTAGAGGAGAAGGGGATGTGGTGTGGCCATCCCCATTAAGGGCTGATTTCTCACTTTCCCTCTTTGTCTCTCACTGGTGAGTGCATTCAACCTGAAGCAAAAACAACAAAAAAAGTGTCAAGATTCATGTAAATATGTTGAAGAGTAAAATAAAAAGGAAACAGTATTTAGTAGTAGAAATAAGTTAATTTCACTTATTATACTATGCATATCCATATTTAGTTTCTTAGTTTTAAAGCAATTGACTAATTAAATCTAGGACTTCTAGTATTCTTTAAAAGATATACCTTACATATTAACCATAGTCAGTTAAGATTTTTCTTTGTTAAAGAATTATTTAACTATTTATTTATTTAAATTTATTTAAATATGACCAGGGAGGGTCAGAATGAGAGTGAGAGTGAAAGAGAGAAAAAGCAAGCCACCAGATCTGGGACTCAAACCACAGTTGGCCATGTGCAAGTCCAGTGCCCTTAACTACCATACCACCTGCTGGGCCCCCAAGACTTTTAAACATTTTAGTTCTTGGCTCATAAGTCAGCACAGACACTATGCTATTTTAATGTATAAATTTAAGCACCAATAAAATAAGTTCTCATAGTATTAGAAGTTCTTAATGGAATCTCCTGATTTTAGAGATCAAATCTGAAAAGAAATGGGAGGTAGAGAATCTTATGTTAAGCACAGGTTCTAGATGTAAATATATGTCTTTGACAACTAATGTGATGACTAAGTCTATGCTATCTACGGGAGAGAAATCACTCCTAGTTTAGAAAGGCAAATCTTATAAAATACTCAATTATTAAAGTAATATAACTTTTACTTACAAGTGTGTTGCTGCCTCTTAACCCTTAAGCTCTTCAAAGACATTATTTGTGTCTAATTCATTTTTATATCTGAAGTATGCAGCAGAGGGCCTACATATAGTGGGGGAAACATAACAAACTGTTGGTTGAAATAACCATTCGGTAGACTCATTATTATTGAAATAACTTTTCTACTCCAAACTTCTTCCTAAGAGCTTTGTTACCAAGAAAAAGTTTTTTCTTGGTAAGAAAGTATTTACTTGGTTTGGCCCTATTGCCTCATGGTTAAGGGAGCCAGATACCATGTGCCTGACCAAGCAGTTTGAATCCTGGTCCCAACAGCTTGAAAAACACACAGGGTACATGTACATGTGTGCACAACATCCCAACAGGATGGAAAAATGGAGGAGAAGGAATTGTGGCATGACCATGCCCCGCCCCCCTGGAGTTTGCTTTCTCTCTCTCCTTTTCTCTGATTTTCCATCTCTGATGAGTGCATTTGCCCTCTGACAAATTAAAAAAAAAATAAATAAATAAATACACAGATAGAAGAAAAGAGTTACTTAAGTAATAACTAAACTAAAATCTCTTTTGATACCTTTGTGACATCCATTTCCTGAGAAACAAGCTGGTTTTGAGCTTCCTCTAGTTGATTAACAGCTGAAATCTTTTCTCTTGTAATTTTTTCCACCTCAGCTTCCAGTTGGGCAATATTCTGAGATAGGCTCAAAATCTGTAAGAGGAAATAAAAGTCTTAAACAATAATGTCATTTGACAAAATAAATACTAAATATTTCTTGAGTTAATACAGTTTCAGCATAGTCACTGGGCTCTATCTGGAAGTCATTTCTCTGTGGACTGAGTTTGTCCACTTCTCTACGTCTTCACCCCAGTTACCCTCCATGATTGAAATATGTGCTTCCTTCCTATTCATTCCCCCGGCCTCTAACCTTATTTTGTAAAATGTATAACAAGGTAATAAAATCAAAGTTTTGGTTGAAACCCTTAAGGTTACAAATATGAGACACCCAAGGAAGTTATGGAGCGGAATGCCTTAAATGAATTTCAGAGGAAGCCTGGAGGAACCAACAACTCTTAAACCCTTCTCCCACATGGAGGGCATGAAAAGACTGACAAGAGAGTTTGAGGAAGATGACTTTAGAGACAGTTACTGGTCTGCCCTCATTCCTATCCTCCTTCCTCCAACACCATGGAAGAGGAGAATAGAGAAGAGATTGTGGCATGGCCATCCCCTTGCAAAGTGGTTCTCACTTTCTCTCTCTCTCTCTTTCATCTTTGCTGTGAGTGAAAAAATCTCTTTAAAAAAAAAAAAAAAAAAAAGAGGAGGCTCTCTGCAGCTCCCTTGGTTCGTAAAACCCTACCTCCCTACCTGCCCTGTCATTATGCGCTCTCCCCTATTCCTCCTGGAGGATTCAGCTAAGCCATTATCTTCTCTCCTTCAGAATACCTTCCTTGACCTCTAGTTCCCAGTACAAAATATTGGATCATCAGAAAAGTCATGATGTATTTTTCTGTGCAAAAATGCATCATAACTTTTCCAACGACCCGACAGTTGCCCCTTTATACTCACAGTCAGGGCTGATACTGAGCTCACGTGCACTGAGACAATCAAGCCTGTTGTCTGTAGCCCAGATTCACTCTCACTGATTTTGCCTTTGCTGTGCTGGTTCTTTAATATTTTGAATAGCATTCTGGCATGTACTCCTACAATCTCTACCTACACCTGAATCACACTCCAACCTCTGTTTTCTCTATCACAATATTATCACACTGTTTTTGGTTATCTCTGTTTCCTCATTAGACTAGAAGCTTCACAAGGGCAAATTCAAGAGGCATCAAATATTTCATTAAAAAATAAATATTTAGAATAAATGGCTTTTCTGCAGAACTTTATGAATGTTGTTAGCTTTTCTTCTCAGGATTAGAGATGTTTTCTAGATCTTAGACTTATTCTCCATAGTTTTTCATTTGCAATGATATTTTGTTCTATTCTAGGAAGTCAGATTCTTCTAGGCTAATTTCTTATTTGTATTGGTAGTTTTAAAATGAAAAATAAATGCTGCCTTAGCCAAGAGCAAAACATTTAAGAATACCTATTAGTTTTTATTATAACAAGAATTGCTAACAAACCTGAAATAATATTTGAAATTTACACTGACCTGAATATGAATTAAGTTTGACATCTGAAATCAATAACTAAAATTTAATGATAAAAATTGCCATAGGTGGGCCAGTAGGTGGTATGGTGATTAAGCTGCTGGACTCCCACATGGCTGACCATAGTTTGAGTCCTAGACCTGGCAGCTTGAAACTTTATACCAAGTACAAGTGTATGCATGCCCTAAATCTTTGGAGAAGAATGAAAGAGAATGGATTGTGGTGTGGCCATCCTCCCTAAGGGGTGATTTCACTCTCACTGTCTCTGTCTCTCTAAATTCATGCCCTTTGGCAAAAAATCTCAAAAAAAGTTTCTTTTTTTAAAAAAAAGAACAGAAAATATGCTAGAAGCATGTGCATACATGCCTTAAAATCCTGATAGGAGAATGAAGAAGAAAGGATTGTGGCATGACCATCTCCCCCGGGGGAGAGGATGCTTTCTCACTTTTTCTCTCTCTCTCTCTCCAGGAAGCACATAAACTCTATAAGAAGCTAAAATACACACACACACACACACACACACACACACACACACACACATTTTTAACATAGGGCCAGCCCCTTAGTACAGTGGTTAATCACTATGCATAGAAAGCTGGAGCCCATGTGGCCAACTATGGTTTGGAACTTGACCCCAGCAACTTCAAAAACACACTCAACATGTGTGTGTGCATGCCCTAAATCCTGACGGGACAGAGAAATGAAGAAAAAGGATTGTGGCTTGACCACGATCCAGCCTATGGAGGTGTGTGGGGAGGTGCTTTCAGTTTCTCTCCCTCTCTCTGGCAAGCACTGTGCCCACTGACAATAAAAAGCAACAACACTGAACCAAAGTTTTAGTAAATTAAAAGTCCTACATCATAACACTGAAATAAGTGTCTGACTTTTAGTCTATAACTAGTTAAAGTTGACCTACATGAAAAGAATGAGTACTAGTACTATTTTCTAATTTAGGCAGATGTATTAATTAACTTTGGGATTATATATTTGACTTAGAATTACTTACATGTCTTTACCATCAAAGATTGCCTATAAATCTAATTTTCACGTAAAATTAGATTTACTAATAACAAACTATAAAGTATCCTTACGCACATTACAACCTGAACCTAATAAAGGTTAAAAGAAAAGTTAAATATAAATTTTCTATTTAATATCCTTAATTTAAAAATTCAAGTTCATGAGTATACATGGTATAAATATTATGAATGTGTAGTTATAACTTTTCTAGAACCATGCAATAAAAATAAACTTTTAAGTATCTGCTACTAAAAATCATCTATTATTTATGTGGAGATATATCTGATAGTAAACATCACAACATTATCTGGTTTTTGAAGTAAACATGCAGATATTTATCTTGCTAACTGTTCATTCTGAGTCCGTTTCTATTCTAGGACATGAAACAAATCCTTCGCCTCCTTATGATTCCCTCCCTCTGTCACCCATCACTTCTTTTCTCTGCCCACTACCTGTCTGCTACCTCCTGTCACCCACTTTCTGAGGTCTCCCCTCCTGTTGTCACACCTTCTTTTTCCCCACGCCCACCATCTGGAAGTCAACATTACACTGCAGGAGCCTCTCCATCCACATCTGTTGCAGAGCCAGAAGTAACACAGACACAGCTGCAACACTGCTGGATGTCCAGGGCGTTGACATCAGGTAAGTCCTTTAAACTTTGACAGGGGCAAGGAAGAGACAAGGACACCCAGGTTGGGAGAGCTTGAGAGAAATGTCTGCAAAGCAGTCCATAGTGTAGTGAGTGTGGTTATCAAGCAGTACGCCCTACACAAGAGAGAGAATCAGGGATTCCAGCAATAGGCTATTGTCAAGGGAAGTAGTTGAGAAAGTGTGTGGACCATAGGAGGTGCTCAACAAAGAGCTGGTGAATGACTGAATGACTGAGTGAACCAGCAAGCCTGAGTAGCTCTGTGCAACCAAGGGCCATTATTGAAGACACCAAACAAACTCACAGCCAAGTACCATTCGTGGGGGGATAATTCAAGCCTGTCTAGGTAGAAGATATCTGTTCTCCTACAGCTTCCCACACAAAAAGGTATTTTTTTCCCAAAGGAAAAAGAAAGAAAAGAAGAAAAAAATCACATAAAGAACAAAAGCCTGTCTCCTGAGCAGTCCTACTATTTGGAAAACAGGGATGATTGCTCTGGCCAGTACTGACTTAACTACCCAGCACTTACAAGGCTATGATTGGATGGTCAGTTTCCCTGCTAGGCTACCTTCCTGTGCTAGGTGTGTTATATACATTCTCTCTGTAAATTCCTTAGAGGAGTTATGTTGGATTAATTTTCATTTGAAACAAAAAAATAGATTCTGAAAAATCAAATAAATTGTCCAAGTTCATCCAAGCTAGTAAATAAAAGGTGAAGATGGACTTTATATTCAAATCAGTCTGCTTTTATTAACATGAAGGTTCAGGAAATCTTTCTAATAAAGTTACTTCTGTCTCTAAAATAAGAATAACCCTAAGCTAAAACTTATGAAATGCCCATTATAAGCCAGGCATTACATTATATATTTTCAAAACATTATCTCAATCCTATTAATTCCTTGAATGTAAGTATTATCAGCTTTATTCTTTGCTGCTCTGAATGTTAGGAGGTTAAGTGAATTGTTCAAGGTTACAGAAAGGTCCAGTTGGATAACCCTAATTCCTTTCACTCCGAAGTGACTTTCTGCCATGTCTTGGTAAGAGCATTTGCCTTTGGTGTTAGGACTACACTGCCAGCTCTTTATTCATGCATCTTCACTTAAGATAGGACCTTGAAATCAAATGTCAGCTAAGGCTTATGAGGGGGCAAAACAGACGTATATAATTCACTATGCATTGCCACCTGTATTGAGACAATAAATGGCAGTATAAAAGAGAGGTTGTTACATATGAAAACACCTGGAAAGCTGCCAAAGACGCTTCGGCTTTCCTTTTTATTTATTTTTTTTTAAATCAGGAATTCTCAATATATTTTTATTTAGCCAAACTATTCTGTAAGGCAAAGTTTCCTAGTAAACAACTAAAACACAATCATCTCCTGGGTGTGTACAATAATTGGTCTTTGCACTGATATCATTCTGCCTCACTTATAATACCCCAACTCACAATTTTACCTCCCTCCATCCCTTACTCATGTTGATCAGAGGCTGCTGCCCATACTTTTCCCCATACACTGTTTCTGCATCCAACCTATTCTTCAAAGTTCAGTTAGAATGCCACCATCTCCACAGAGTCTTCATGATCTCTTGCAGAACGGGATCAGATCTGATCCTTTGATTCTCATCAATTTACTCATACCTTTCCAAAGACACCGAACCTTTCTTCCTTTCCCTTGTTTTTCATTCCTTCATGCAACAAGTAAATGTCCAGCAATTTAATGTAAGAGGAACGTGCCAAACAATGAAGATGTTAACAGACCATAAATGCAAAGGGTTGCCTAGTGAATTAGGGGAGGCTAACTATTTACTAAGAATCTGCAATAAATTTAGTTATGAAAGCCCATAGGAGAGGATTCCAAATTCAATTTGGGGAGGCTCTGTGAGGAGATGGTATCAAAAATAATACTGCAGGGAGCAAAGTACATGTAAAATCCTGAAATGAAAAACAGTATGGCAGATTAGATGTTTGCAGGATTGGAGAAGTGCAAGAGGGTATGATGGAGATGCAAGGAAGAAAAAGGATAGATGAAATTCGAGTGTCAAAAAGAGAAAGAATAATGCATGTATTCTGTATGTTATGTTAAAGGAGCCTAAGTTTTATCCACAGTTGCAAAGAGACATGAAAGGAGTTTAAAGCAAGAGACTAGCACATTGAGATGTTCATTTCAAAAAACATCATCCAGGGGACCAGCAGATGGTGTAATGGTTACATCACTGGATTCCCACATAGTTGACCACAGTTCAAGTCCCAAACCTGGTGGCTTAAAAGTCACACTGGGTGTGTATACATGCATGCCCACCCAAAATCCCAATTGAAGAATGGAGGAGAAGGGATGATGGCATGGCCATCTCCCCTGGCTGGGAGGAGGGGAGGTGAGTGCATGGGTGGGTGATTTCTACTTTCTGTCTCTCTGTTTCTCTCTGTCCCTCTGGTGAGTACATGCACCCTATAGCAAAAATCTCTCTAAAAAACAAACAAACAAACAAAAAACAGCATCCAGATGCGGTTTCCAGCTCTGGCTGCACGTTGGAATCACCTGGGCAACCCTGAAAGTACTGACATCAGGGTCCTACTCTCAGCCATTTTGATGTCACTGGTTTGAGGTGTAGTTTGGGCAATGAGAGTTTTAGAACCTCCAGTGTTACAAAGATTTAAAGAGTGTCTCTTTGAACAGGTAAGACAAATTTGAAAGTATTTTCCTGGTGAAAATAAAAGAAGCCATAATGAAGTAAAGGTGGAAGGCTCAGAAGAGACGGGAGAACAAACGGAATGAGTTCCTCTTGGTGGTGAGAGTGGATGGAACTTCGGGGAAAGAGAAAGGAGTAGGGGTAAGTCTTTCTCCTCTCACAAGGTTGGGACATAGGTGAAAATTTACTTTAAGGCAGAGGTGTGAGGGAAGATAAACAGTTGAGGTAATCATCACCTAATGGGTTCGACTTGCTAGGTAAGTAAGGATCTCTTCTGAGAATGAGGGATAAAGTGATATGGTAGAGAATGTGAGGAAAGTAAAAGTGATTTCAAATATTCCTGAAAGAATGAGTCCAAGATGCCATTACTTCTCACCTAGAATATTATTGATTACCTCCCATCTGACCCCCAGGCACCTATTATCCTTCCAATCTATTGACAAAATGACTTTTCTTAAACATAAATGATATCACAAACTGTCTGACTTAAAGACACTCAATAGCTTTGCATCACTTTTTGGAAAAAGACAAAATCTGAACTGTTTCACAGGGATTTTAAAGTCATTCATGATTTGGTCCCTGCATACTTCTCCAAACTCAGTCCCCACTGCTCTGTCCCTCCCTCCCTTTACTCAAGCCACCTAGGCCTTCTCTCAGTTCCTAGAAAGTCTGATGCTTTCCAGCTTCAGTCGTAGGCATGACACTTTCCTGGGCCTGAAACTCTCTTTCCTTTACCTCTATGCCAGACCACTCCTTCGTAACTCTTTCCGGTCTCATTTTCCAGAAGTCTTTCATAACTGCCTAGACGAGGGCAGAGTCCCCTGTTAATACATCCCACGGTACCTTAAACCGAACCTTTGTGGCTTTATCACAATGATAATTAAAAACTCATTTATGAAAGTATTTCTTCCTAGTGTCCACTGCTCCTATTGGTCTGTAAGCTTCAGAAAGAACTGCATTGGTCCTATGACAACCATATCCCCAGTCCCTCTAATTAATGTCCCCTGAAAGCTGAATGAGTGGGGGAGAGAGAAGAATGCATAGAAGGACTGCCAGAAAGCACAGAATCATAGACGCTGAAGACACTGCGTATAAAATACCATCTACAAACAAGGCTGAGGGATTTCATTAGCCGAGACCCACAGTCCAGAGCATAGACGGTAGGCAGTTAAACTGATCCATAGTAGGGTTTTAACAGACACATTTTAAAGAAAAAGAAGATGACAAAGGAGTTTACAGTTAGAACTCTGTGGACAGAGTTGTGATTTTTCACTTTTTATATCCTTAGGCATTCACACTGCCTTGCAACAGCTGATACTTAGCAGACATTTGCTGAATGAATTCATTATTACACATCCAGGTAATATGACAGCACAGGATTTAGGATATAAGCTATCAGTCCACTTGAAAAAAACCAAAACAAAATCTACCATGTAACAGTTATTTCAGTTACTTCGCAGACCACTTTAGGCTCAATTTTACTCTATTGTAGCAATTTTAAAGCTAGGTTCCACACAACTTTGTATCCCCGTTTGTTACTGTTTTTTAACACTGTTCACTTCATGTTATCTGTTCCCTTTGTGTATAATTTCCCCCCTTCCAATTATTCATCTGGTTATATTATCCTGTAATTAGTCAGAATTGATTTTATACAATCTGTATAACCACTTTTTATTGTTAATTTCTTACAAGTGTTTTATCTTCTTCATGTTCAATTTCTGGGTAAGGGATAAAGTTGGGGGAGTGATCGCTCTGATTTAGTTGAAATAAAAATTGGGGAGCTTCAGAGCATCTGCTCTACTTTGGCAAACACAAGAGAGGAGATCAAACAGAAAGGTCGGATTAAAGTAAATTAAACAATTTTATTTGAAAAACATCAGGGAACAAACTTTGAGAAATATATGGAAAAACAGAATATTAAGGATTTTTACTCAGCCAGCCCTATGCACTCGCAGTTAAGGGAGTCAATCTGACATGGCTGAGTGAATGGTTCGATTCCCAGACCTGGTAGCTTAAAAACATACTGGGCACATGTGTACACATGCTCAAAATCCCAACAGGGTGACGAAATGGGGAATAAGGGATTGTGATGTGACCATACTCCATTGGGGCTGCTTCCTCCTTCTTTCTCCATCTCTCTGTCTCTCTCTGACAAACACACATGTTTTCTGGAAAATTAAAAAGAAAAAAAAGGAAAGAAATTTCACTTCTTACATAATAAGGCTTTAAAATGAAAGTTCATTCAAGAACTGTAGGCTATAGAATCATCGATGACATCACAACATACATAACCAACTATGGACAACAGCAGGGTCCTTACGTACCTTCGATCCCATTTCCTCCTTCTCCTTTGCTGTTTCTTTTTTCATCATTTCTTTCTCAGAGGCCCTCTTCTCTTGCTGAGATGCAAGTTCTCTTTCAAGTCTTTCCGTCTGCCTCTCCAGCTCACTCTTCAACTGCTCACACTGGATTAAAGCCTGCCAGAATAAGTCAGAGTGAAATGAGGGTTTAGAATTTGGGGGAGGGGAAGTAGAAAATAGGACAATTACACTTTAATTTTATTTCTAATAGTTAAATCTCATGATAAAGTCCATTAAAATAATTTTATATTTGCTTACTAACACTGTTTACTGACCTAAAATAGTATTAAAATGTTATATTTATTCACGGATTTCAATTTTCACAATTAAAGTTACATTAACTAATCAACTAGAAACTTCAGGTACTAGCCCTTGATGAGGGCCACAAATAAGTCAAAATTTTGAAAAAAAAAAGAATAAAAAAAGTGTTCTAGTACTTTTCAATTATAGATCATGTTTATACTATCTGAAATATATGTTTCTAATTTAACTGATTCTCATTTGCTCCCAGTTAAAAACCATGGACTACTTTAAATGACAAATTGATCAAAAGTTTGAAATGAGATACTGAATATAACATTACATATAGGCGCTGACTGTTTAACACTATATAATAATCAAGTTTCCTCAAAAACAACTAAGATTGGGACCAGCAGTTAGTGTAATGGCTATGTCGCTGGACTCCCACGTAGTCGACCGTGGTTTGCGTCCCGGCTAGGCCACAATCCCTACTCCTCTGCTCTCCTCTTGGGATTTTGGGCATGCATGCACAAGGCCCAAGTGTGAGTTTTAAGCCACTGTCTGGGACTTGAACCACAGTTAACTACGCGAGAGTCTAGTGATGTAACCATTATGTCATCTGTTGGTCCCCAACTTAAAAAAAAATAGTTAAAATAATGAAAGAGGGCCAACCCTGTTGCCTAATGGTTAAGGAAGCCAGCTCTGACATGGCCAATTGCAGTTTGAATCCTAGCCCTGGCGTTTGAAAACCATACCAGGTGCATGAGTATACATGCTTAAAATCCCAATAGGATGGGAGAAATGGAGGAGAAGGGATTGTGGCATGACTATGTCCCATTGAGAGGGATGCTTTCCTTCTTCTTCATCTCTCTCTATCTCTCTAGAGAGCCCAAGTACTCTCTAGAAATTAAAAAAAAAAAGGAAATAAAAGAAAAACTCAAAACAGGATTCACTGTCTAGTTTTATGAAAATTATCATCCTCCATTTCCTGTCATTTAATCTAAATTTCCCACTCTGAGTTTCCAACAATAAAAACTAACTCCCTTTTGGTTACATTTCCAAGGTCTTTATGTATAATACCCAAGAATTAAATATGGTTTAGAGGGTATTTTTAAAAATCAATGAAATTGTAGTGCTATGATATCTTAGTCTTATCCCACTGGCTCTTATTTACACTATTCACCACATTCAACCTCTATTTTCCTCTGAATTGATTAAAGTAACTCAAGTCTCACATGACTTACATACTGTATGATTATAAATTTGATAGTAACATTTGTTGTAAATGGAGAGAGGAATGGTCTCAGTATTCACTGTAAGTTTGAAGGATAGTTATGCTTCCCTCTAATAAAAACTGTAATAAATTACAGACAATAAATATCTAAGATACGTGAATTTCCTTCTCTTCATCTGGGAAGCATTAAACTTTATTTCTTTTAGTCTGTTCTGGAAAGCTTCTGTACTCCTAGGCATAAAGTATGAGGTTAAAATTGGATTGTCTCGGATTAACTGAGAAACAAATACAATGTCAGAATAATGATTTTCCTAGGGAGTTAATAACAAGTTCAATTCTAGTTGAGGATGCCTGGAAAGGGAAATTTAAAACTAGATTTGAAAGTAAATGAAAAAAAAAACCAACATACTTTTTAAATTATTTAAGCCCTTGGAGCTTGAAATAATATGAACCAGTGACTTTTGTGCTTCAAGAAGCAATTGCTTTTGTGAAAAATATTTTATATCAACCTAATAAAAATATTCATGACTTTTGCTATTATAATGAGTAGTATTAAATGAATAAAATGATTATTGAATATAAACCAATATATCCAATCAGAAGGTTTTCAGATGAACAAAAACTAAGGCATCAACATCATTAAGCATAGGAACAGTGGAAGAGATTGATGAAGATCTAAAGATCAGGCTACCATGAAGAGCGACTGAACTATCAATCTAAAGAACTGAATCAATTCAGGAACAAGAGACAGTAAAGGATATGAACAAGGGAAGAGGCCTAATTCCAAGATAAGATAATATAGCAAAAAGCACAAAGTGGGCCAGCAGATGGCATGGAGGTTAAGGTGGCTGCACCTCACATGGCCAGCTGCAGGTCTATTCTAGACCTGAGAGCTTGAGAAATAAGCTGGGTGTGTATGTGTGCATGCCCAGAACGAGAATGGAGAAGAAGGGATTGTGGTGTGGCCATCCTCCTGGGGCGATTTCTCACTGCCCCACCACCCCCTTTTTATCTCTTGCCTCTGCTGAGCACACGTGCTCTATAGCAAAAACAAAAAACAAACAAACCCCCCACAAAGTAAGAAGATGTAAACCACATAAAATGAGACCATTGCTGAAGCCTTGGTTTTATGGCTAGCATTCTCTCCAGGTAGGACTAGCCACCACCCATGGGTAATGATGAGCAAGTCTGAAAGGAACAATGAAACACTGAATAAAAATATTTGGTTAAAAACTGATCACTAATGACTCCTGGTATCCAACTAATGATTCCACATTATATAATAGCTTCTATTTTTATTTCATAATTTTTACGTGTATAATTGGTCACCATGAAGAAAATATTAAGGCTTAGTAATACTTGTGATTATAAAAGTGACTTATCTTTCTAAAGGTACCTCTCTTATAATGGACTTCACATACCAGAAGATTTGAGTCCAGTAAATATTTATACAAATTTTCCAGTAAGGCACTCTTTTTTATTTTGGAGAGTTTTTTTTTTTTTTTTCTATAGGACACATGTGCATGCCAGAAAGACAGAGAGAGAGACAGAGAGATAGAAAGTGAGAAATCTCCCCCCAGGGGGGATGGCCATGCCGCAATCCCTTCTCCTCCATTCTCCTCTCAGAATCTTGGGCACGCATGCACACGCACTTGGTGTGAGTTTAAGCCACCAGGTCTGGGACTCGAAACGCATCAGCTACATGGGAGTTCAGTGACATAGCCATTATGCAAACTGCTGGTCCCAAAGCACTCTTTTAATTATAGGGCTCTATCTCCTAGTTTCCAGAGTCCCACTGATCAAGTACTCGGTGAATATACTCAACCAAGTATTCAGTAAAGGCACAAGAACGTAATTCTCAAAGGCTAGGTCAGGGAGCAGCTAAATGCGATGAAACGATAGCTCTTCATAGGTGGCCAAGTTAACTGGAAGCCTGTAGCTGTCATTTCTCCCAAAAGTTCCCCAGGTAGGGGCTTCTCCCTTTCTCTGAGTACAACTCTCATTGGCTGAAAGGGCATAGGTATTGGGGATTTGGGAAACTACACTTTTTCTCCACCCAGCAGCCTCAATTCTTAAGAGACCTTTTTGTTTCTGGAAAATGTCTCTATTTGTGATCATTCTATAATGGCCACATTAACACTGTCTCCAAGTCTTAATTTATTGGACTTGATGTTCCTAGTCCTAGTTTTATTAAACCAGAGGGTATCAATTGCTCTCTTAATGGAGTCAAAACACTTTTTCAAAACAATTTGTATCTAGTTAACTAACTGTCTTTTTCTTTATGAGAGAGGGAAAGAAGGAGATAGGTATTTTTGGCAAGTTTTTGCCAAGTTATGACCCTTCAGCCCCCACCTCTCAGCTAGCTAGAATTATAGACATGTGCTACCGTGGCAGATTTGTTTAGGCTGGTGCCTGGGCCCAGGCCTCCCATTCGCTTCAGTCTCACACGGCATGCCCTGTTTGCACCACTGTGCTGGGCCTAGTCAAATAATATTTTAAAATAGGAAACATACTTTAGAACACAATAAAGTCCTTCCCAACTACTAGGACTAGTTTCATAGAAATCTTGGTGATAGAAGAATTTGTGACTAAAGAAAGAACTGCGCTCTTATTAGAAATATAGAGTTCACACTTACAAACACTATCTTTAAAACTTATGGACATGTTTTTACTTTTACGAAGCAAAGCCCACAAAACAAAAATGACTCTCAACTCACTTTAAGCATTTATGAATAATGCAAACCACTGGTTTTAATGTTTTAATTCTTACTTCCTGGAAACTTGTGAATTGGTCTATCCCTGTCTCCCATTTTTTAAATATTTAGAATTTGCTTTTATTTTGTAGGAGATAATGTGCATATCAAGAAGCATTTTCTATCTTGTGACGACAAGAAAACGCTCAACACTTTCCTGCTTTCTGCTCAATGCATTTACTCCAGGTCTCTAACTCCTACATTTAGATCCACTATAATCCAAGAAACAGAATAATTTGGATACTTGAAAAGGGAAAAACATTTTTTGAAAGATTTTTTTCAACCTATGGTGTTGGCATTTTTTAAAGAAACCTTTCTTTAGAGGAGTAACTCCTTACAGATATGCTCATGCCAAAGCCTGTACCCTCAGGCCCTCTCCTGCACCTCTCCATAATTTCCCTTCCAATGTAAGCAGGATGCTCTAAGACCTGGTTGACATTTTCATTTGCTTCTCCTAGCTTTATTGAGATGTCACTGCAAAAACCTCTATTTTTTATACCCACATTTATTTTCAGACTAATTTTCTTTTAAAAAAATTATCCCTGATTATAATTTATGATTTTTCATACAAAAATATTTACTGAACACTTACCATAGCCAGATACTTTGCCAAGTGGATTATGTGGATGAATTTATTTTACCCCTTCAATAAATTTTAAGTGTTTCCTATCACTCGGTTCAAGAAACTGAGGCTTTGAGACATTAAGTAACTTGCCCAAATGCAGCCCAAGAAAGTGGAAGAGCTGGGGATTTGATCTATAAAAATTCCTTAGTAGAATGTATGTATTGCATTATAATAATATTTTATTATATATTTTTTTTTTAAAAATGCTGAGGTTTTTCACTAGCTTGACAAATGTAAATACATAATATAAAATAATTTCCTCTAA